CATTAGGTGTGAATTTACTCATCCCCTCCTCTCCCTCCCACCTGCCCAACACCCTATGAATGTTACTTCCATATGTGCACGTTAGTGTTGATCAATTAGTACCAATTTAATGGTGTGTACACGTGATTCTTTTTTTTTTTTTTTCATTCTTGTGATACTTCACTTAGAAGAATAGGCTCCAGCTCCATCTAGGATAATACAAGAGGTATCAATTCACCATTATTTATGGCTGAGTAGTACTCCATGGTATACATATACCACATTTTATTAATCCACTCCTGTATTGATGGGCACTTGGGTTGTTTCCACTGAAAGTTCATTTATCTAAAATTAAAAATTCACTAAATAGCAAAATAAGCTTAATGTCCTAATGATAGTCAGTTTTTGTTCTACATCATTGTATACCATACAAGTATAAGACAATGAAAACCTCCCAAAACCATAATGCATGATGCTGTTAAGAAATACTTGCTAAAGAAAGAGCAGTTAAAACGGGATACGTGATATTTTAGAGGTCGTCAAGAATTCTGACTTCTCTCTGGTCCAATTCCTTAGACATCTTGGAGCCTCTAGTATTGAAATTATTCTCATGTGTGAACAATTCTCATGGTTTTCATGACACATAATGCAACTTACAGGCATAAAGACAAATGCACTGACAGCATATAATCAACTCTAAATTCTTTTCTGCCTTTTCAATTCAAGAGCACTAAATTAATTTAAGAATTTTAACAAAAGCATTAAGATTACTGACTTCAAAATTTGGAAAGCTGGAGCAAATCTCATCATATTAAAACTTTGCTGTTTATGAAAATAGAAAGTAATGAATAATTTTCATCTATCTATTTTGGGTTTAAACAAAAATTACATTTATAATTTATTGCAATTGTCAGTATTCAATCAACTGATATTTCAGTGTATTTTCATTCATAGCCCTTCTATTACCTGAAATAAATTTATGAAGTGAAAACATCTTCTGGCCCCTGATGTTTTCATTTAATTTTAGTCTCAACACTGGGTTACTCTGTAATTAGCCATTTTATAAATTGCTGAGCAATATTTAATAAGTTTACATATATATTTTGAATTTTTAACAAATATTTTCCAAGTTGTCATTTTCCTACTTTTGTTTCCTGCTATTCCTTCTATTCTTTCAGAGATGTAGCATGTTTGATAAGGGACATCTGTATTTTTAAATATGCTTAGAGAGTGAACATCAATTTTATCTACACAAATGTCTAAAGTTTTAAGTATTTTAAGATCCCTCTGGGTGAAGTGTATGAAATCTACAAGAACTATCATTGTTGTTCATTTTCTTCCCAGAGCCTGCTGTCCCCAACAGCATTCAGTTATGCAAGCCAATACATTGCACAGTATGAAGAACAGGGCATTGGTAGGTTCACTTCCTCTAAAACTGGATTTTATCTTTCACAGCTGTGATATGTGTCACAGAAGAATAAACATCTGTGTTCACTTTTTAGGTCTCCAGTGGGACAATATGTACAGCTCCCCAGTTGAGGATGACACCACCTCATTTGGCTGGCTGTGCTGTCTAATCCTAGCTGACTCTTTCATTTATTTCCTTATTGCTTGGTATGTCAGGAATGTTTTTCCAGGTATGAACATGCTTCCTATGAATATAGGCTTTTTATGGTTGTCATCCTTATAAATCAGGAGATATATATATATGTTCTACTATTTGATTTGTCATATATAATCTCCAAAAAAAAGTACTCTAATCCCAAAACTAGCCAAAACTTTTCAAGATGAGATAATTTACTGCTGAGTTCCCTCTCTGATATCCCTTTAAAGATGGAGTGAATTAAGAAGCATGGAATAGTGTCAAAAATCAACCCAGTCTTTCCAAATAAGAGAGTGAGATATTATCAGGCAGAAGTCGAGTCTCCTAATTCTAAGGGGAATTTACCAGATTCTAAAGGAAGAAGACGAAGTTGAGATTCTCCCTTCTAGGTCTCAAGCAGTCATGCCTTCCAACATGCTTAGGTGTTTTTCCATTAAGCCTTATTTATAATTGTGCATTTTTCTGTGCTTTAAGTGAATAGAAGAGTATGATTTCATTTGTATGAGATTTCAATAAAAGACAAAATATGTAGAGACAGAAAGCAGATCAGTGATTGTCTGCGACTTGGGTGGGAGCAGGGATTATCTGCAAATGGGCATGAGAGAACTTTTTCAAGTGATAGAAATGTCCTAACACTGGACAATAGTAATGGTTGCACAACTTTACACATTTGCTAAAAATCATCTAATTGGACAATTAACAATGGGTAAATTTTATAGTATGTGATTATACCTCAATGAAACTGCTTTTAAAAAATAAAAAGAAGAAAAGAAAGGTTATCTTTTTTACTTTCCTTTGGAAACAGAGACCATCCTCTAGTTTTATGCCATATCAAAAAATGAAACTACTTCCTGAACGATATATAGTATTCTATTGTTTAGTTTCTGATGCTTAATGTTAATAATCAGTTAATAATCACTTTTCTTAATACATTTTTATTACAGGGACATATGGCATGGCAGCTCCATGGTATTTTCCAGTCCTTCCATCCTATTGGAAGGAGCGATTTGGGTGTGCAGAGGAAAAGCCTGAGAAGAGCAATGGCCTCATGTTTACTAATATCATGATGCAGAACACCAACCCGTCTGCCAGTAAGACGAGTAGGTCGACAACATGCATTACTATGAGAGAACCAATACAAAAATTACATGACTCATAGTTTTAATTATGTTTTTCTAAATGGCAAAATTATCATCCTTTTAGTCATGGATGAGTATGTCTACACGTACATGTCTGGACTCTTTGGGGGATTAAATTGTGGATTTTTCTGGGCTCATTAGCTCAGTTGGTCAGCATATGGCGCTAATTGGACCAAGATTGCAGATCCCTTTGTGGTCCAGTTAGATTCACACAGAGACAAATTTTGTTCCTTGGCCACAGTCTACACCCTAACTCCAGCCATCTGTCATCAGTCATAAGAAGTAACAAAGTAACAAATATGGGTAATTTAGCATAACTCATCACTAACACTGGAAAAATAGTTTAAAGCTTGTCTTACTAACATTGGGTGCGTAGTGTCATCTTTATAAAGTAAGTATGACCCACATAAGTAGTCTTTCTGTGATGTCTGAAGGAGGTGTAGATATTAATAGTAACTAATGAACTGAATTCTATAAACTACAGATTTGAACTAGTCTTGTTATTGTAAAATCACAACTTGTAGACATTTATTCCATAAATTTGTATCTTCCTGCCAAATCAGAGAACCAGGCCTTAAGCCTTAAACTTAGCTTTTGAATATTCGAGATCTGTTAAATAAAGTAGAATTTATAAATATGATTCTATATCCTGGGACTTTTTCCAACAGAGAAGGGTTATATAAACCTTAATTCCCCACTCTCATCCAATGTGTAATCAAGTGAGAAGAAGGCTGAAGACTATACTAAATCATTTGTTTCTGGAATTTTTTTCTTTTTACTTAGAGAATTATATTTTTATAGTCTTCAATTTTTAATTAAGATAAAGTCAACTCTAGCTGCATTGTCTTATTTGTGAGCTTACAACTCTTGCCTTGATTTCTCTCTAGGTCCCGAGTACATGTTTCCCTCTAACATTGAGCCTGAACCTAAAGATCTCACAGTCGGAGTTGCCCTGCATGGGGTCACAAAGATCTATGGCTCAAAAGTTGCTGTTGATAACCTGAATTTGAACTTTTATGAAGGGCATATTACTTCATTGCTGGGGCCCAATGGAGCCGGGAAAACTACTACCATGTATGTTACTTTCCAACACATTGTCATTGAAGCATATTACAACAGATACAGTTTTATTAATAAATTAACTCTTTTATAAAAAAGACAAAGTTATTACATTTCCCAGATGGAGTCAGATGGTTCAACTTGTATACTATAGAATGGAGTATAAATCTGAGGTTCTAAATTGTGAGTTCAAACATCAGGTCAGGCCAAGGATGATTTGGTCTACCTAGTAGTGGTGGCCTACCCACTACTTCTCAAAATTTTTAATTCAGTGTCAATATTTAAAAATGGGGAATTTTCTAATAAAAATAAATATTCTTGGCATCTCTTAGGAAATTCTATAGCATCGAGTCCATATTCTTAGGTTGAGACTACCTGTTGGGGCTCCTTAGTGACTGATCTCTAAAAGGAAGCACCTGCTTTCTGTTTCATTCCCGAACTCTACAGATCTGTACTGCCTCATACACCCAGGCTGTTTCATTTCTTTGCATTTCTATCCTGGCCCATGTCTAAGCTTGAGTTTGCACATCCTGGTGTAAAGACAGACTCAGCTGCTCCATCACAGGAAACTCTCGCCTTGATTACTAAAGAGACAAAAGAACCACCACCTAGCAGATGTAGATCAAAGAGGCCAGGAGCGCTACTTGGGCTGTTCTTCCTCACTCTTCACTTAAGTAGCATTTTCTTGTGTCAGAATGGAGAAGAGACTCACATGTCTTTAAAGTGACATTCTTTTGAATTTTTATATGTGTGATTTGCCTCCAGTGCTCCACATTCACTTCCCTGGTGAGTCAGCGCTAAGATGCTGTTGGCGCTCTAGCCCTTGTTTGAGAAAATGTGTCGCTTTGCTGCATGTCCTATTAAGCATCATCACAAGTAAGCTCAGCAACTACCAAAATATTGAGATTAAAATTTTTTTTTGGTAAATAAAAGAGATAAAGGAAGGTCATGAGATGAGAGAACATATAGGCTCTCTATTTGCATGACCTGTGTAAAGTCAGAGTTGGCTTTCTAGTGAGAGTACAGTGCTTAAAAGGGAAGATTCCTAATAGGCAATAAGAGACCAGTGAAGAAAAGGAATAGAAAAAGCTTTGAAAGAGGCTATAATTTTAGCTGAGAATGCCCTATTTTATTGTTCTAAACATAAACCTTTAATATAAGGAATAAGATATATATTATTTGCATTTCAATGTGTTTTTATGGGAAAATTGCATATTCTATTGATTCCCTGTTTAACCCACAAGGCTTCAATGCCAGGCACTGGTTAGGCACCGCACAGAGTGCTGAGAAACAGGTCCTTTCCTTGACCTCATGGAGCTCGTATAATAGTAGAGGAGATGGGTATTAAATATGGTCCAGTTTACTCATCATCTGAAAGATGATGGGAAATCACATAGGTGAAAATACTGTAGTCACAATGTAGGGAAAAGGACTGGAGATGACCAAGCAGCATGTGGGAAGTAGAGTTAGGAGCTTACAGTGATGGGTTAGGCAGGTGGTGACGGGGGCTGGCCCTGTGGCGGTAGCTGTGGAAATGGAGAGATGGGGGTGGTAGCTATGCAAATGGAGAGGTGGGAGGGGGTGTGTGAAAAATGACTTCCGAATTCCAGTCTCGTGCAACCGTTCTATGAATGTATCGCACAGTGACGGTGGTAAGTTCAACAAGGGTGTGGTTTTGAGGGCACAGATCATAGCTCAGTTTTAAACATGTAGAGTTTGAGGACAATGTAAGACTTCTCACAGAGAAGTGGCAGTATCCGTTAGATGTATAGAGCAAGGCTGGAACTGAGTGATGAGGCCGGGGCTGAGATATAAATTTGAGACATGTCAGCCTGTAGATACTAAGGGATGCCAGGGAAGTGCCTGAGTTTGCTCAAGGAGAGAGCGTATGTGCAATTAAAAAGCACAACCACTTTTGTCATTATTACCACCACCACCACCACCACCACCATCATGTAGTGCTTACTTAACACTTAAAATCACTTAAAAGTAATTTTTATTTTTTATTCCCATTTAATACCATTTTATTTCATAATTTGTCCTTGCTTAAGAAGATACACTGTAACATTTTTTTTTTTAACTAACAACTGAGATACATTTAGTCCTGATATCTAGTTTAAATGCTTGGTTCATACCTAATTTATCATTTCTTCATTTCCAGTTCCATGTTGACTGGGCTGTTTGGGGCCTCAGCAGGCACCATCTTTGTGTATGGAAAAGATATCAAAACAGACCTAAACACTGTGCGAAAGAACATGGGGGTCTGCATGCAGCACGACGTCTTGTTCAGTTACCTCACCACCAAGGAACACCTTCTCTTATATGGCTCCATCAAAGTTCCTCACTGGACTAAAAAGCAGCTCCACGAGGAAGTAAAAAGGTGAGTTATGACAGGAATGAGAACATGAGTTGCTAACTCCTCTCAAAGACCCATAGCTTGGTTGGGGAAGTTCTGGTAATAATACCAATAGGAGATGTTTTCTCACAAAACAATTGGTTTTTAGTCTTTCTACTTCTTTGATACTGTGTACATTTAATTAACCTCACCAGCCAGTTATTACACTGAAATTGTTTAACTCCCTTCATCTCTGGCTCCCATATTGCCCCAAATCCTTTGCTTCCCATCTCCATGGATACTACACTGGTCCAAGCCTCCTAACTAGACTCTCAGCCTCCACTCTTCTCTTGTACAATCTGGGAAGAGGGGCCAAGGTGATCTTTTTCAACTGCAAATCAGACCATGTCATTCCTGGGTTCAAATCCAATGGCTTCCTGCTATGCTCAGTGTGACATTCAGTAATGTCCTTATCAAGGCCTATAAAGTCCTCCATGACCTGCCCCTGATCTCACTTTTGATTTCATTTTCTCCCACTCTCTCCCACATTCACTCTACTCTAGGCACACTGGCCTAGTTGTATGCATAACTACACTAGGCCTACTCCAGTCTTTTGCTTTCTCTTCCTTCTACTCACAGCACCCTTCCTCAGATAGCCATTTGACTTATTCCTGGTCAAATGACCACATTCTTTGTCTCTGCCCAAATGTCATCTTCTCTCAGTTGATCCCCACATATAAAATAGATGCCTAAAATAGCATGTGCCAGACACTCCTTATCTCACATACCCTGCTTTATTTATTTTTTATTGTACTTATCACCACCTGACATATTATAAACTTACTTGGGAATATGTTTATTGATTGGATTTCCACGCATGCCTTTCGATACACACACATACTAGAACATAATCTCCTTGCGAGTAGAAACTCCATCTTCTCACTGCTTTTCCCAAGCACTAAAACATAGCCTGGCATAAAATAGGCAGGCACTCTATCAATATTTGTCAAACGAATGAAGTATATATTCCCTTGTGTTTTTTCTGAGTATTAATTTGGTACCTACAACTCGGTGACAAATAATAGAAACTATATCATGAATCCTCAGTAGTTTATTATATCTTACTGAGCACGTAACAGTTGCTTGGTGAATACCTATCACTTAGTGTGTTTATTGTATTTTTCCAGTGTTAAGATAGTCTATCTGTAAAAACTAACCATCATACATTATTTTCTAAGGACTTTAAAAGATACTGGGCTGTATAGCCATCGTCATAAGAGAGTTGGAACACTGTCAGGAGGAATGAAAAGGAAGTTATCTATATCCATAGCTCTCATCGGTGGATCCAGGGTAGTAATTCTGGATGAACCATCCACTGGCGTTGACCCATGTTCTCGCCGAAGTATATGGGATGTTATATGCAAGAACAAAACTGGTATGAGTACTTTTTCATAAATTCTCCACCCAACAGTCATAATTCTGCCCTCTGGGATATGCAAATGCAAGTCGAAGCCTTTTCTGTGTATGATATCCTTTAAAGGTCTAAGATTGGCTCTTTCTTTTCCCAAGATTTTTCTTCTCCCAGCCAACTTTCTGGGTCAATTAGTTATTATCTATCTAGTGCCCACGGTGAGTTGAGCACTTAACTGGCCTTTCTGAGAGCACAGAAGTTCAACAGAAGTTCCAAAGTCTGCCTAGAGGAGTGAAAAATCTAATTAGATATATCAAACATACACAAACAAAAATAAACTGAAAACAGACTAAATAAGTGCTAACAGGATGCGAAGCAAAGGAGTAATCAGGGTGGAGTGGATTAATCAGAGAGGAATATTCAAAAAGTCTTTAAAATTATCATTTTCTTGTAGTGAAGAAAGGGAATAAAAACAGAGTGCAAAATGAAACCACGGGAGCAAAACTGACAGATTGGGGAGAGTTGCCAATGCCCACGCGACAAATGATGGACATTTAGCCAGTCAGCATCATACTAATTTGCTTCCAATTCATTTGAAAAACACCCCCAAATATTTAAGAACACCCCTTCTGAATTTTTCTTTGATCATTTTGGAAGTTCCCTGTAGTCAGTTAGTTTTTCAATTAGCTCATAAAATGTGATTCTTCTCCTCATGATGTCACAGGGTTTACTCTTGCTCACTCTGTGTATCTTGGGACCTGTGTCTTCATTTTTCATTCTCCGTTGGTCTCTGTATTTTCAAGCCAGAACAATGATTCTGTCCACACACCATTTGGATGAGGCTGAAGTGCTGAGTGACCGCATCGCCTTCCTGGAGCATGGCGGACTGCGGTGCTGTGGGTCACCATTTTACCTCAAGGAAACATTTGGGGATGGATATCACCTCACTCTTACCAAGAAGAAGGTTGGTAGGAGAGAAAATATACCTCCTGATAGAGTCATAAGTTAATTGGTTATAGGAAATGGAGGCAGAATCTGCCTAACTTCATTCATTGCTAAAATTCATTAATATGCTAGCTTCGTGGTTCTCAAACTTGAGTGAGCCTCTGTATTCCTGGAGGTCTTGGTTAAAACTTAGATTTATGGCCCCACCTTAGGAGTGTCTGATTCAGTAGGTCCGAGAGTGGGACCAGAAGTTACTCCATTTCTAATAAGTTCCAGGGGATGCTGTGCTGCTGGTCCAGGGACTGCACATTGAGAAACAATGCGCTAGGTAAAAAATGACCTGCACCCTAACATCACTGATGGAGAATCAGCCTTTTAGTTCCCCTAACATTTCAGCTTATATGGCTAAAAATTCAATTTTCTGCTTTATCAAGAGCAAATTAAAAGAATGTGAAGTCATGTATTCGCTCTCTAATCAGCACTTCTCAAGTGACAGTGTGGAGACTGTAACTTAGACAGGTCAGTGGTGCTTTTACATTTTTTGAAGAACAAAAAAGCTCACTAAGGATCCCTGTACCACCTCATGTAGCATATGACAATACCGTGCAAGATATATATGCTACTAGGCAGGTTTTGACTACCACCATTTATTTAATATCTAATCATCCTGATGTGACTTTGAATATAAAAATATATTTCATAGGTATACTCATTAATTCACTCAGAAATTTGTGTATTAGGTATTTATTATGCCTTACAGTGTACCCAAGCACTGTCCTAGGCACTGGGGGTACAGCAGTGAACTGATGAAAATCCCTGCCTTGTGGAGTTTGTATTCTGATGGGGTGTGAGGAATTCAGATGACACAATCAATAAATAAATTAGTTAGTAATTGGTGTGGATGGAAATGAAGCAGGAGAGGAGAAGGAGGTAATGCTGAGTGGTGCCATTTTTAAGTAGGGTAATAAGAGAAGAGGGCTTTGAGAAAGTGACAGGTAAGCCAAGAGTTGGAGCCAGTTCAAGAATGGACATGTCACAATCCGAGGGCAAAGAAAGAGCAATTTCAAGGGTCCTGGGTGGACATGGATGTGTGTGTGTGTGCCTGAGCCTGAAGCCCTCTAGCAACAGAAAAGACACTTGCTGCTGACGTAGAGCAAGCGAAAGGGAGGATGGTGGACAATGAGGTGGAGTGGGAGGATGGGGTCGGTAAGGTAGTGACTTGCAGACAACCACAGGAACCCCGAGTGGGACAGGGAGCACTGAAGCAGTGGTGTGTGATCTGACTCAGGTCTGGAGTGGCCTAAAAGAATTCACCCACCTCTGATTAGGACTTTGGTTCACTATAGTGTAAAGAGAAGAGAGTGTCTAACTTCTGTCTTTGTCTCTAGAGTCCAAATCTAAATGCAAATATAGTATGTGACACCATGGCCGTGACAGCAATGATCCGATCACACCTTCCCGAAGCCTACCTCAAGGAGGATATTGGGGGAGAGCTTGTTTATGTGCTTCCTCCGTTCAGCACCAAAGTCTCGGGAGCCTATCTGTCGCTCCTGCGAGCGCTGGACAATGGCATGGGTGACCTCAACATCGGGTGCTATGGCATTTCAGACACCACCGTGGAAGAGGTACACTTTGACTTCTCTTTTTTTTTTTAGTAAAGCTGATATAACTTGCTGTTCCCTTAGAATAAACATGTGCAGGTGTTTTTAAAAAATAAGTAAATAAGTATTTCACAAAATCAGAACAGTTTAATATTATTTCAATCCTGTTCTTATGTAAGACTGACTTCTGAGAACAAGCTGTTGCTCCAACTATAGAACACATACTTTTACAAACAAAAATATCCACTTAATTTTCCTGTCACTGGTGTCAAATAATAAAAATTCTAAAAAAAAGTTCACTTAAAGTCAGATGGGAAATATTTGTCTTAATAAATATGATAATTCAAAATCAAAATTAGCTTAGACATTAGAAAAGACATGCACTTTTTACATTAATGAAGTGATCTGGTTTCTTTTTCTAGGTCTTTCTGAACTTGACTAAAGAGCCACATAAAAATAGTAACATGAGTCTTGAGTACTTAACGCAAAAGAAAATTGGAAGTTCCAGTACTAACGGCATCTCAACTCCTGACGATTTATCTGTGAGCAGCAGCAACTTCACAGACAGAGATGGTATGCCTCTCATGTGGATATTTTGCTTAACACCAATAAATGATATAATTGAGAAAAATCACAGGAAAGTTTTGATTTTTTAAAATTCAATTGTGAAGTTTCATTCTACATTCAAAAAACTAAAGAAATATAAGCTTCCTTTTTTATTATAATATACAAAATAGTCATTAAATCAAATTGAATTCTCTATTTCAAAAGTACTTTGAAGAATGTAGAACTCCCTTCATAGGGCAGTGATGAGTATTCCTCCTACCCACCAGAAATCGTTTTCAAGATGTAACTTCTACAATTTCAGATTTATGCTTGAGTTAAAATTCTTCTTGTAATTGGTGCTGTCCAGCAATAGACCAGGTTACCTTGTGAGATGGTTCACTCCCTGTTATTAGACATGCCTAAGTGAAGACAATAGTCATCAAAAAAAGTTAAAAAAAAAAGAAAAAAAAAAAAGAGTCATCACTCCTTATGGTACCTCATTGGAAAACATGTCTAACCTCCCCCCACTCTAGATCGTTCAGGTGCTGAGAAAATGCTTTTGAAGGAAAGTCTCTGGATTGATTAAATTGGACTTGATGGTTAAGAATCTATAATAATAATAGGATCCTCCCCCCAGCTCAGCAATCCTTCACACAGGATATATTCGAAAAATCATGTTTCTTGACATGAGTTTAAGGGATTGGGCTCTCTTGAAAATAACTTTTATTGTCTCTTATTCTCTTTCTGACAGTTAATTTATATCTCTGGAAACTCTATTTACTTAAGGTAGCATATAGTAAAATGATATATAAATTATGGAGTACTCATTTCCACAGTTTGCTTAAATTGGGAAAAATGTCTAGGAACAGAACTTTTAATTAAACATTTGCCTGGCTTTAAACCTCAGAAAAGATCATCTCTGGTGTTTGTATAATTCTGGGACTTGAGGGAAATATGTCCTCATCTATCATCCTTTGGGGGATACAGTTGTAGAGTCCATGGAATTGAGAACTTTGATTAGAAAGTGGTCATCTGCTTCGGGAAGTAAATACTAAGTGTTTGCCTCGACATTTGTCTCATAATTTGAAACTATTCTTCAGTCAAAACGTTCCCCTCATTGACATTATCTTTCAGAAAGCACATTTATTCCATTTGATACACCTGTAAGTCATCCACATGTAATTTCTCAAGAAACAGAAAAGCATACTAATTAACTCAAAATATTCAGCTCCTTCTTCAATTCCCTTTTGTGGAGATATGAGTTTGCATTTAAACGTGTTCACTCTGTTTAATTGGAATTCATTTTAAATTAAGCAGCTTTGTATTTTTCCTTATCAGCTAAATGAAGATCATGAGTTTTGTGCTGCATAATTTGTGATGGAAAATTTAAAATATACACAGAGTTGAGGAATACCATCATCTTATCACATAAGAAGGAGTGCTTGGTGGCAGGCATTTGCTGAGAATGCGATATTTGAACCTATTTTTAGAGGGGGCTGCTGAAATTATTAGCCATAAATCTCTATTGAGGAAGCAATGGTTTATGGCCTCCACAGCTGCTCTGACTCTCAGAGCTACAGAATTTTTTTCAGCATCTGAAAAGCATTTCAAAGTAGGGGTGGGGGAGAGACATTTTTCCAATGAGTTCTTTCTTGTAACTCTAATGGTAAAAATGGAGTTTTGAAAGGCAATACAATCATTCCAAATTTCTAAAGAGAAAACGTAATGAACAAGTGGTTGAACTAGAACTAGACTTTGGAGGAGAGGATTTTCCTTTTCCCCTATGGTGAATTCACTGGACCTCACGTTATACTCAGAGCCAATCAATTAGACTTGGAATCAACTAAGTTACTCATAATAGAAATGAGTTCTTAGACTAGGTTGGTGTTTTAATTTCTACTCATTTAAATTCAATCTCTTGATAGAAATTATCTCTTGAGTATTAGTAAGTAGGAATCCATCCTTAGTATGCATTGAGACTTTGGAGTTGGAGGACAATAATCACCTATGAAATTCTAGATATCTAACTTTGATGTAAAATCACTATGTACATGGCTGTTTTTTTGCACAGGGAATTAGAATTTTTGAATCATTTTTACATATAGATCTATATAAGATGGGTTTTATGGTCCTTCATTTTCCCAGTGGAAGGCACAGGACTAAGGCTGATACATGCATTGCTGAACCTGAAATCCAGATCTTTAAAATATAAGCATTTCCCACCGCACCATATTATCCCATCCATCCATAGTTTTTGAAGTTACTTTATTACTTTATTTACTAAGATTTTCCAGAACTATATCAAATCTCTTTTTCTTAATTAGACAAAATTCTGACAAGAGGAGAGAGGTTGGACGGTTTGGGACTACTACTGAAGAAGATAATGGCTATACTCATCAAGAGGTTCCATCACACCCGCAGGAACTGGAAAGGTCTCATTGCTCAGGTTATCCTCCCCATCGTCTTTGTAACCACAGCCATGGGCCTTGGCACATTAAGAAATTCCAGCAACATTTATCCAGAGATCCAGATCTCCCCTTCTCTTTACGGTACCTCCAAACAGACAGCCTTCTATGCGTAAGTTTCTTTCCACTAACTAAAAGAATGTTTCCAAAAATCTTCCAGAGGTGTGATTGTACCTGCGTGAATCCCATTGAATGATGAAGAATAAAGAACTTAGGGTTCATAGTATCTGCTTCTGCTAAAGGAATGGACAGTTTGATATATTGCAATGTTACTTCCATTGCCAACAAATAACTTTTTAAGAGTTTTTTTTTTTTTTGTATTCTCCTGAAAATAAAGGTATAGTAGATATTTGTTTTTAATGACTAGACTTTTTTGAATTCTTTTTTTTGAGACAGAGTCTCACTTTGTTGCCCTGGCTAAAGTGCCATGGCATCAGCCTAGCTCACAGCAACCTCAAACTCCTGGGCTCAAGCGATCCTTCTGACTCAGCCTTCCGAGTAGATGGGACTACAGGCATGTGCCACCATTCCTGGCTAATTTTTTCTCTATATATATTTTTTTAGTTGTCCAGCTAATTTTCTTTCTATTTTTACTAGAGACAGGGTCTCAATCTTGCTCAGGCCGGTCTCGAACTCCTGAGCTCAAACAATCCACCCATCTCAGCCTCCCAGAGGGCTAGGATTACAGGTGTGAGCCACCGCGCCAGGCCTATTTTTAATGACCAGACTTTAACCAAGAAAGCCAGGTTATGTGTATATTACCTGTTGTGATATACAGAAAATAGCTTTTTATTAGTCTCACAAATATTGAATAGCAATGTCAGAATTCTGTATAATATAATGTTGTTTATACAATAGGTGATCACTAAATGCACATGACAATTAGAAATACAAAGCAGCCAAATAGAGACATGTGTATATTTTTTCCTGTGATACTTTTTTTTTCCTGACACTGCATCTTTCTTAGATTTTTTAAGAAAATAGTCCTATAAACAGCACAGTTCATTTCTTCAAATTATTTGTGAGCATGAGTTTAACATGGCAGACTAGTGGCAGAGTCACGAATCTGTTTCTATCCTTCAAACGTTTCAGGAATTCTCATCCAAGCACAAAAGAACTGGTCTCAGCAATGTGGAACTTCCCTGGCATTGACAACCTGTGTCTGAACACCAGTGATCCGTAAGTGGTTCTTGCTTTTTGTTTGTTTTCAACGTTCCATTTTGTGTGTGCACAGGTGTATGCAGGGTGTGTGTGTGTGTGTGTGTGTGTGTGTGTGTGTGTATTTGGCTGGAAGAGGACAGTTCCCTGATGGAAATCTGTTTAACAGATTTTATCTATCTCCTTTAGTTCATTCCACAGCTATGCTATACTGTAATGATAAACATTAGATGTCATAATTTGTACAGCTCTTTTGTATACATATTTTCATTTAACAATCACAACCTTGTGAATTATTAATCCCATTTTACAGCTAAAGAAACTGAGGCTTGTATAACGTACTTGTCTGAAGAAATCTAGATTGTAAATTCTACAGCTAAAGCTGAGACCCAAGTCTTCTGACTCCAGTTCCCATATGTTTGCACTATGCAGTATTGCTTATTCAAACTTCCAAGACAGTACATAGAACATGTAAATCTGACCTTGGTGTATTATTAATATTATGCTAAAGTATTCCCTTCCTGTCAGAAGAGAGGATAAAAAGAGCAAAGAGAATAAAGGAAACAAAAAGCCCCATCCTGACACAGTAAGACAATTCAATGAGATTTGGTCTCAACGCTATTGAATCAATAAATGCTCTCCCTCAATCCCCCACCATAAAATGTCAGATCACTAGAAAATGGCCATGGAATGTATATTCAAGTTATGAAAAATCAGCAAATCGTACCTAGGACTACACACCTGAATTTAATACCAAGTACTTATTTATATACTGTTACATAAAGATGAAAACACACACACACACACACACACACACGCACACGTCAAGTCCGTATCATTTTTATTTGCAGACGGTGTTTGAAGAAAGACAGTCTGGAAAAATGGAACACCAGTGGAGAACCTATCATGAATTTTGGTGTTTGCTCCTGCTCAGAAAATATCCAGGTAAAATGGAATTTGGTTGCAGTGAAGTAGGAAAAGGAAGGAAATAAATATTGAAACTTGAAAGATCTATCTAAGTTACCAAAGAGTCGGTATAATTTCATTTTATGGAAGCCAGTAGCTCAGAGATATGGACCCAGGTAGCTCAAAAATATTGACTTTGAATGTCAGGTCACTATTTTAAATCCATCTCAGGACAAATTTCCAAAGGTAGGTGATTTTTTGATGGTCTTTGTGGAGACCAACTAAAAATGAATTTTTGGTCTTGATTCAGTGCTAACTAGAAAGCTCTATTTTTCACATGAAAAAATGCCACTATAGCTGTCATATTTGAAAATTTAGTGAGACGGCTACTGTAGTGGTCAGCTAGGAAGCCAATAATGTGTAAGTCTAGAACAGAGTTACGTATGTCTCTAAGCAACACCTCCAGGCTACAGGAAAAGTCATTTCCTGAAAGAAATAGAAAAAATTATCTATCACTTACTCTGTCCATATTCGATAGATTCAGACCTTAGTTTTCTAAGCCTATCAATTCACCAAGCTTTTAAGAGAACCAAATTCACTAGGGAAGTTGAAGATTGTTGAAAAGTCGCTATATTGTCAACTTACTTTCTCACGGGGGGAGTCTAGCAATATTTTCATCAAAGTGACATATGGTTGTGCCCTGAACTGTCTTGGTACAATATTTTAGAATGAAAATATTTTCAGTAAATGCAACCCATTTTGGTGTTCTCATGCAAGATAGCTACTAACAATAAGAGCTGGGACCCAACAAGGATCTTTTGGAATCCTCGCATATTTAAAATCAGTCCTACCCAGTATTCAGAGTTTTTTAATCTCCCGTCTAATTTAACTAATTTCTGAAATTCTTCATGTATTTTCTTCAGTTCACAGTAAAAGTTAATTAATTTAATATTTAAAATTAGAATCTGGATAATTTTTAGTCATCTAAAAATCCAGTAATTTATAATTTTTTCAATGTATTTTGTCATTTAATTAACATCTCCAGATCTATTTCTACCTGTTTAATAATAGTGAGATCACTTTGCCTAATTGATGCTATGTACATCAGACATGCACTATGGATAAAGTTCTAAGTTTCTTGAAAGGAAACAAATTATACTGCATGTACATCGAAAGAATAAGAAAATAAAAAGGAAATCCACAGTGTGGAAGACAATATTCACAATACACAACAAAGGACTCATGTCCAGAATATATATATAAAGAACTCCTGCAAATTAGTAAAAAAGATAGATAACCCAATAGATAAATTAGCAAGACCATGAAGAGAAACCTCACGAAGAGTATATACAAATGGCCAATAAATATATTAAAAAGTAAAGCAATATCACTCCACACTTACCAGAATGACTAAAATGAAGAAGGAGAAAAATTCCAAGTGTTGACAAAGATGCACAACAGCCAGAACCCTCGTAATCTGCTGATGGGAATTTAATTTGGTACAAACAGTTTTTAAACCTACTTGGCAATATATACTAATGCTGGAAATATGCCTACCTGTGGGGCCTGCAATTCCATTCCTATTATATACTCATCCGAAAAGTGAATAACGCCCACCAACTGTAGAATAGATAAGTTGAATATAGCATATTTTC